AATGAAAAACCTTCTCTCTAAGATCAGGAACAAGAAAAGGCTGTTTGCTATCAGCCCTATTATTCAATATAGTACTGGAAGTCCTAGAGAGAGCAATCGAGCAAAAGAAAGAAATAAAAGACATCCAAATAGGGACTGAAGAAGTCAAACTGTCACTTTTTGCAGATGACATGGTTATAAACTCTAAAAATCCTAAAGATTCTCTATATGGGAAATCTAAAGAACTATTAGAAATAATAAATACAGTAAAGTTTCAAGATACAAAATCAATGTTCAAAAATCCATAGCATTCCTACAATCTAATAATAAATTTTCAGAAAAATAAAAAAACAATTAATTTTGCAACTGCAATAAAAAGAATAAATTTAACAAAAATGTAAAGGACCTATACACTGAAAACTATAAGACACTATTAAAAGAAATTGAAGAAGACACAAAGAAATGAAAAGATATTCCATGTTCATGGATTGGAAGAATCAACATAGCTAAGATTTAATGCAATCTCCTACGAAATCCCAATGGCATTTTTTTTTAAAGAAACAGAATGAAAAATTATCAGATTTGTATGAAATCACAAAAGACCCTGAATAGCCAAAGCAATCCTGAGAAAAAGAAACAAGGCCAGAGGTATCACTCAGCCTGACTTCAAAGTATACTACGAAGTGATACTAATCAAAAGAGCATGGCATTGGCAGAAGAACAGACGACACGCAGACCAATGAAACAGAATCAAGAGTTCAGAAGTAAATTCCTGGTTATATGGGCAAATAATTTTCGACAAAAAAGCCAAAAACATACAGTGGAGAAAGGAAAGCCTCTTCGATAAATGGTGCTGTGAAAACTGAAAAGCCACCTGCGAAAGGTTGAATCTTGACTGTTCTCTATCACCACACATTAAAATTAACTCAAAATGGTTTAAGGACCCGACTATAAGTCCTGGATCAATAAATTGCATAGAAGAAAACATAGGTACTAAACTCATAGACCTTGGTCTTAGAGAGGATTTTATGATTTTGACCTCAAAGGCAAGGAAAGTAAAAGCAAAAATAAATGAATGAGACGATGTCAAACTAAAAAGCTTCTGTACGGCAGAAGAAACCATCAACAAAGCAGAGACAACCATCCGAATGGGAGAATATATCTGCAAACAACGCCTCTGATAAGAGCCTAATATCCAAAATATACAAAGAACTTATACAACTCAATAACAACAAAAATACAAACAATCCAATTAAAAAAAATGGGCAGAGGACCTGAACAGACACTTCTCCCAAGACATACAAATGGTCAACAGACATATGAAAAGCTGCTCAACCTCACTAGCTATTAGGGAAATGCAAATCAAAGCTACAATGAGATACTGTGTCACACCTGCTAGAATGGCTATCATCAACAGGACAAGTAATAAGAGGTTGTGGGCAAGAAGGAACCCTCATACATTGCTGGTGGGAATGCAAATTGGTACAACCACTATGGAAAACAGTATGGAGGTTTCTCGAAAAACTAAGAATTGAATTACCATATGATCCAGCAATCCCTCTTCTGGGTATTTATCCAAAAAACCTGAAAACATTTATATATGCACCCTGACCTTCACAGCAGCATTATTCACAGTGGAAGCAACTGAAGTGTCCTACGACAGATAATGAGATAAAGACGCTGTGGTACATACATACAATGGAATATTACTCAGCCATAAGAAGAGATGAAATACTGCCATTTGCGACAACATGGATGGATCTTGAGATAATCATGCTAAGTGAAGTAAGTCAGATAGAAAAAGCTGATAACCACATGACTTCACTCTTATGTAGTATATAAAATTGAAAGCAACAAACATGACAAACAGAGACCCATGGACACAGACAGGGGATTAGTGGTTACCAGAGGGAAGCAGGGGAGAGGGGACATATATGGACTCAAAGGGGTTAAATATTTGATGATGCAAGGAAATCTAACTCTGGGTGGTAAACGCACAATGCAATATATATACGACGTCCTGTTGAAATTTATTTGATTTTATTGATCAATGTCACCCCCAATAACATTTAATAAGAAAAGTTCTATATGATAAAGTAGATTTAAGCACTTAAATTACAATAGTTTTCTACATTTGTTCATATATTTACCTTTATCAGAGATTATATTTTGATGTGGCTTTGTGTTGCTGTCTAGTGTTCATTTCAACTTGAAGGACTCCTTATAGCATTTCTTGTAGGAGAGGTCTGATAGTAATAAATTCTTTCAACTTTGTTTAACTGAGAAAAATCTTAAATTTCCCCTCACTTTTGAAGCGCAGTTTTGACAGATTTCTTGGTTGCAGTTTTTTTTTTCTCTTGCTCCCTTCAAGATCTTCCCTTTTTGAATTTTTAGTTTGATCATAGTGAATCTCATTGTGGGTTTCATTAACAGTTTATCTTACTTGTAGTTTCTTGATCTTCTTGAATTTGTATGTCTATTTCTTTTCTCAAATTTGGCAAGTTTTTAGCCATTATTTCTTCAAATAACCACCGTGTTTCTCTCTCTCATTCTGACTTCCATAATGCACATAGTGGTCTGCTTGATGATATTCCATAAGTCACTTAAGCTCTCTTCACTTTTCATCTTTTTTCCTTTTTACACTTCTGACTTGATAATTTCAAATGACATGTCTTCAACTTTGTTGATTCTTTTTTTCTGCCTGATCAAGTCTGTTGCTGAAACCCTCTAATGAATTTTTTTCAATTTAGTTATATTTTTCATATCCACAATTTGTTTGGGTTTTTAAAAATAATTTGTTAGTATTTTAATTTTGTTCATGCATCATTTTCCTCATTTCATTTTGTTGTGTTCTCTTTTTTATCGTTATACACCTTTATGATGACTTTTTATTATGCACCTCAGATATCTGTGTTTCTCAAGGGTCAGATTCTGGAGCTTTATTTTGTTCCTTTGATTGTGGCATGTTTCCTTGTTGCCTTGTGAGGTTCTGTTGTGCTCTGAATATTTAAAAACAGACACTTCACCCAGTCTTTATGGACTGGCTTCATGCAGTCGGCCCAGCTAGAGGTTTTAGGAACTTGCAAACCTTTCCTGGGGATGTGTCTTCTCTGAGGTTGTGCATATATATATGCTTTTACTCCAGTATATACAGCTGCTTTTAACTGTCTCCATTTTTCTAAGCAGCTTGGAAGTTTGTTTCAGTGTCTACTGTTATTTCTTGGCCTATACTCTGTTGCTCCCTTGACACTTGTCTGTGGATCTTCAGACTTCCTGTTGATCTAAAGCGTTTCAAAGTACTGCAGAGCTTGCCCCTTTTTTCTGTGGATCCAGACCTGGCATCACACCATGCTGTCACTCCCATCAGTATTCCATTAGACACTGGAACGCTGGATGCAAGTTCCAGGCTTTTCTTTCTGTTTCAAGGGAGGAGGTTTGAATTGGGAAGTTTCTTCCTGATCATGCCATGTCATATGGGGAAAAGGATCAGGGTGAGAAAAGGTCACAAACTTCTTACCCTTTTGATATTGACTATGCACTCATCTGCATGTCGTAGCTGCCGAACTGGTTTCCAGGGTTCTTTAAGAAGGTATTTTTATCTGCATACTGTTGTTAACTCATGTCTCTAAGGGAATGAGGGCTGGAGCTTCCAAGTCCACCTCATGGCCGATGCTGCCACCCCACTGCCCCCGCCACCCTACTGTTTATAAGTTGCCTTTTTCTTCATTTAGCATTGCCTGATTGCTGTGAATCTTTCCCTGTTTCCAGAGTTGACACTTTCCTGCTTGTTTATCAATTTTGTCTGTGGAGGGACTTGAACTTGGAGCTACTTCCTCTGCCATTTTGCTCTGGAAGGTGGCTTTTGAGCTGCACCTTGGTGTATCAATAGGATTTCAATAGGTGGAGAGCTGATTTAGGCATTCCCAGTGAGAGAAAGGGTATACGCACATGCAGACAGGAAAATGCATATGTTCTGTGATAACATGTAAGCATGGAGTGTGTTCCAAGATAACTTATGTAAAATATATCATATATATATATATTTTGCATATATCATCATGAAGGTAATGATAATTGAAATCATAACCTTGTAATGTTAACTAAAAAGTCATTCTTTTAAGAAAAGTTTTAACTGAGATTTAGAAGGAGTCAGTTCAAATACATAAAATAGAGAATGTGGGTATTGTCTTCCCCTCCTGACTTAGTTTTCCCATCACTTTTACATCAAAGGAGAGGCGATTTTAACTCACCTACTAAGCTCAGCCGTGCTCCAGCCTCTGGGACTTACACAAACCTAACACAAAATACGGGATTCACTATCCTAATGGTCCCTAGTATTCCTTAACCATTCTTCCTTACTGGTGAATGCAATTATTATAAAGTCTAAATCTTCATAAAATATTCTTCTACAGCTTCTCATTGCTCTCAGCATAAATCTTAAACTTTACAGCATGGCTTCCCCAAAACCTTTTATGATTTGACCTTTTGATTATTCATCCGGCTTCACCTTTGCCATTAAATTACTTATCTGATCGAGTGATATAGATGTTTGCTGCCTTCAAGCCTCCTGGTCTTTGCTTATATCAATAATATTCTACTTTCCTCCCCTTTGTAGCCCTTTATACCTCCTATTTGCCTCAGATTGAATGTCACTTCCCTATTCCTCATCCCCCAAACAGGTTAGGTGTCATTCTAATGGGTAACTACCATCCTAGGTGTATCTCCCTTCTTATGGTGTAAGTTTCAAGTTTCTTGTCTGTATCTCCACCAGAGTATAAAATTGAGTGTAACAATCTTATAATCACCACTATATTATCAATTCCTATAAAAAGAATTGGCACATATTTGATTGAATAAATGAATGAATTTATTACATTACCTGAAGCACCTTGGTTGTAAATAATTAAAACTGTAATAACGCCAACACTGAAATAACAACATATTCAACAACACAAGTTGTTGATTGATTTACAGTCTTAGAGAGAACCTGACTTCTGTCCTGGACAGAGATGAATACATACCTGTGAGAATAGACATGACTGTGGTTTTTCCTGCCCCATATTGTCCTAGAAGAATACTAATCTGCCCTTTATAGAAATTCAAAGACATGTCGTTTACTGCTATTTTGTTGCCAAATTCCTGTGGGATAAAAGAAAGAATTACTTGGCATGTCATATCACTTATGAACGACAAACACTCATATCCTCTTATCCTTAGAAGAATCATTATATCATCAAACTCATGTTGTAAAAACAAGATGTTTTAAACCAGGAACAATATTTTCACGTGCACTGAGTTAGTATAGTAAAGGAAGATAGTCAAAACAAGTGTGAAGGCACAGTGGTGTATATATCTATATTTGGTAATGAAAATGGAGACCTCTATATTTTATGCATGAAGAGTGCCTTACTCAACCGCAGTTATGAGCTTACTAAACTGTAGCAAGAGCTGGGGAAGCTTATAGAAACCACCACCAACAATCAGGAAAGTTGATGCCATGGTTTCAGCTAGAAGTCTGATGATTCACAAGAGCATGCCCAGAACTTCTTTGAGATTCTAAGCAGGAGTTGGCAAACTTAAATATGGCCAATTATCTGTTTTTGTACAGCCAATGAGCTAAGAATGGTTTTTGCATTTTTAAAGGCTTGTTAAAAGTAATAAAAAAGAATATGTGCCAGACATTGTATGTGGCCCATGGATCCTAAAATATTTATCCAGTCCTTTACAGAACATGTCTGAAAACTCTACTAAAGTGTCTCTTGGAAACTCCTAATATTTTGATCTGAAATTATAAATCCTAAATGGTTCCAAAGAACTCAACTAAGTGAATCTAAAATCTGTCTCTGTCTCTGTCTGTTCCCTGGCAAATCCTAACTAGAAAGTGAACAGAAAAGAAAGTTTTGGGGAATGCAGTTCGTGGGTTCTCTTTTGCAATATAAGAGAAACCTTAGAAAGAGGTGCTGGGTGTTGCCAGATTGACAAGAGACCATTCGGGAAAGCATGTCTACAAACTCTCCCGAGACCTGGGCTTCTCAATAGTAGCACTATTGACATTTTGGATTAAATAATTCTTAGTTTTGTAGGGCTCTCCTGTGCCTTGTAGGATGTTTAGTAGCTTTCCTGATCTCTAACCTGTAGATGCTGGCAGCTCCCCTCCCTGCCCCTCTCTTTCCTTGGTTGTAACAACCAAAATATCTCCAGACATTATCAGAGGCCTTCTGGGGGAACATAATCATCCCTAGTTGAAAACGACCACCTAGGGAATCCAATTTTCTCCTATGAATTAAATTACCTTATAGATGCTGATAATACTATAATCCATTTCAGTCATTATCTCTTTCCAAAATGATAGCTCTACATCTCCAAATGCCTACCAGAGACATAAGTTTAAATATTTGCAAATATCTCAAATTCAGTATGTCTAAAACTGCTCATTATCATGCCCTGAAAATATAGTCCTCAACTGTACTCTAGAGGTCAGTGGATGGCCCCCGATCTCACTTAGATGTACAAACCAGAAACCTGAGTATAACCGTACACTTCTCCATTACTATTAACTACTGTATGCAATAAATCACCAAGTCCAATTAATTAATTTAGACCAGGGGTGATCATTCTTCATTCAAAAACTATTTACTGAATGCCCACTGTGTATGAGGCATTGTGCCATATGCTAGAGATATATCTAGAAATAAGTCACACATAGTCCTTACTTTAATGAAGTCTTGGTAAAGGAAGATAGGAAAAAAAGTAAAGGTCCATAAAAATTATGGATTATGATCAACATAATGAATAAAGCAAAGAGCGTGAAAAATGCAAGGTGTGATGGTATTACATATGAAACAAATATTTATAACAGACATCAGGCAGCAAAGGATAATTACTGAGAGCTGAAAAACAAATAACGTAAGCCCCATGATTGCCCCAGCTTACCTAGATTGCTTCGAAGCCATGAGTAACTCAGTCTACTTGAGTCAAAGATAGGAAACTGAGGGTTTAGCGAGGTGGAGGGACAGAATATTGAAGAGGAGACAGATGCCTGCAGAGAAAAAGCTGGAGATCTACAGTGGGTTCTCCTAGAGTATTCAGATAAGAAACGATCAATGTAGGCATGAGAGGAAACCACCTGAGGCTGGAGAAAGAACCATTTAAGAATTAGAGGAAACATTCCCTGGCACTCCGCTAGGGCCAGGAAGGGTGCTTGTTCCCACCAGCCAGACTAGAAAATTTTGAGATTCATAGGCCATTGAGTAGATTACAAAAAACAGTGTTGCCTCAATAGTAGGGAATAATTAACTGTAGACTAAGCAAAGCAGACATGAAAGAATAAAACTATTTTAAAGTAACTTAATTCTTCCAAAAATAAAGATCAAGAGTATTTCATGGAATAGAGAAATATTCGAAACCCAAAAATGTAAAGAAGCAGGAATATATGACCCATAATGAAGAAATCAATCAATCAGCTGAAATCAACCTAGAACAGACACACGTTAAAATGTGCAAACACATCAAAATGATTGAGTGTATGCCATCTATTGAAAAAGATATGATGATATTTTAAAAATAACAGAACTTCTAGAGATACAAACTGTAATTTCTAAAATGAACATATACTTAGTAGGATTGGCAGTAGATTAGACATTGTGAAAGAAAAAACAGCTAACTTGAAGACATATCAATACAAAGTCAAACATAAACTGAAGAAATAAGTATCTAAAAAAACAAAGCAACATCAAATTGTGATACATACAAATTCCAATGGTATCATAAATTGTAGTTGAAGTCCCCAAAATGGTTTTGGACATAAAGATAACTAAACAAATAATAGCCAAAATTTTTCCAAATTTGATAACAATAAACTTACACATTCAAGAAGTTCAACAGACTAACCAAGAAGCATCATCAAACTGCATAAAACCATTGCTAAAGAAACACCTTGAAAGGTGTCAGAAAAAAAGAATCATACATTCAAGAAAAAAAGATAAACATTAAAGTAGATATTTCATTAGAAACAATGCATGTGAACAGACAGTGGCGAAATATAATCCTTAACCTAACATTCTATATCCAGTGACAATATCTTTCAAGAGTAAAGATAAAATAAAGACTATTTTAGACACAGAAAATCTGAAAGAATTAATCCCTAGCAGACCTGAACTAAAGGAAAGGTCAAAGCTAGTCTCAGGCAGAAGGAAAATGCTACCAGATGGAAATCTAGATATGAACAAAGGAATGGAGAACACTGGAATTATGAACTAAATTGGTAATTATATATCACATTCTTTTCAATTTTCTTAATATGTAACTGAAAAATTAAGCACGATGATAACAATACATTGTGGGTTTTATAACATATGCATAAGTAAAATGTATAAAAATAGCAGCAGGAAGGCTCTGAATGTAAAAATTAAAATATAACTAATGTGAGGTTCTTATATTGCAAGTGAAACGATATAATACCATTTGAAGGAAGACTGTAATAATTAAAAGTTGTGTAACGTATCAAAGAGAAACCATCAAAATATTTAAAATGGAAATAGTTAATACCAAAAAAAAGGAGATAAAATAGAATCTCAGAAAAATAATCAATTAATCCAAGAGAAGACAGGAAAAGAGGAGAAGGTGAACAAAGTATATGTGGTAGAAACAGAAATCAAATAGTGGGATGATAAACAGAAACCGTACCAGTATTACAATGATCACATTAAATGCAAATGGCCTGAACACCTCAATTTAAAGGCACCAATTATCAGACATGAACTATAGAGAACCATATATATAAAGAATGAACTACACACACACACACACACACACACACACACACACACACACACACACACACACATGTCCTTCAATTATTAAGACACACATAGGTTAATAGTAAAAGAATGGGGAAAATATACTAGGCAAACGACATGAACTAAAACACAGGTGGAGTAACCAGGCTCACCTGTGGACTCTGACTTCAATTATTAAGACACAAATAGGTTAATAGTAAAAGAATGGGGAAAATATACCAGGCAAACGACATGAACTAAAACAGAGGTGGAGTAACCAGGCTCACCTGTGGACTCTGACGCTATGCCCGCCCATGGACCCTGGTACCATGCCCAACCATCTGCAGACTCTGGCACTAGGACTGCCTGCCTGTGGACCCAGGTGTCTGACCAACACATGGGCCCTGCCAACCGGCCTGCCCAGGATCTCTGGGTGGGCACTGATAATGGGCTTTCTCTTTGAAACAATACCTTGTACAAATGTTTGATCTGGATACCTGCCACCAAGCTAGTAGGTTCAACCTCGAAATATTTGTTTCGAGTTCTCTCACAGCTTTCCATTTCTTCTTTTCCCCTTCTAAGTCTTGGTTGGCCAAACCAGTATGAGCGCTACAAAGAAAGCCAAAATGTAATTACCAAAATGAGCATTAAGATACGAAGCACTCCATCTGAACAGGCCTATAACAAGCAAATGAATCAGTGATCGAAACGTCCCAACAAAGAAAACTGCAGGACCAGTTGGTTTCACTGGTGAATTCTACCACAACATTTAAACAAGATAAATAAAAATCTTTTTTTCAAGCCTTTCAAAAAGTGTAAGAGGAGGAAATATTTCCTAACTCTTTCAAAGCCCGATAATGGTAACATGAGGAAAGACACTACAGAGCAATATCCTTTATGAATACAGATGTAAAAACCTTCAACCAAATGCTAGCATACTGAATCCAATAGCATATCAAAAGGATTATACATCATGACCAAGTGGGATTTATCCCAGGAATGCAGTGGTAGTTCAACCTATAAAAATCAATCAATGCAATATATCACATTAATAGAACAAATGTAAAAACCCACATATTTGTTTCAATTGATGCAAACAAAGCCTTTGACAAAGTGTTTCATGATTTAAAAAAAATGCAGAAAACTAGGAATAGAAGAAAACTTTCTCAAAATGACAAAGGACATTTATGACAAATCTATAGCTAATATTATATTCAGTAGTGAAAAACTGAAAGCTTTACCTCTAAAATCAGGAACGAGACAAGGATGCCTGCCTCCACCCCTTCTATTCACCACTGTACTGAGAGTTCTAGCCAGAGCAATGAAGCAAGGAAAAAAACAAAAGGCATCCAAATTGGAAAGGAAGACGTAAACTATCTATATTTGAAGGTGACATGATACGCATATTTCTACATATAGAAAAGCCCAAAGAGTCCTCCTAATACATACTACCAGAGCTACTAAACTCAGTAAAGATGCAGGGTGCAAGATCAACATGCAAAACTCAGCTGTGTTTTTACATACCATCAACAAACAATCCAAAAAGAAAATTAACAATTCCATTTACAGAAGCATCCAAAAGAGCAAAATAGTTAGGAAGAAAGTTAACTAAAGAGGTGAAAGACTCACACACTAAAAGCTATAAAACCATGCTGAAAGAATTTAAAGAAGATATATAAATAGAAAGTTCGTGGACTGAAAAATGTTTTTCATATGGCAATACTACTTAAAATAATCAACAGACACAATGTAATCCCTATAAAAATTCCAGTGGCCACTGTTGCAGAAATAAAAAGCTGACACTCAGGTTCATATGGAACTGTGAGGGACCCCTAATAGTCAAAACAATCTTGAAAAAAAGAATAAAGTTGAAGGACTCACACTTCCAGATTTCAAAATTTACTATAAAACTACAGCTATCAAAATAACATGGTACTGGAGTAAGTATACATATATAGGCCAAACGAATAAAATTGAGGGTCCAGAAATAAACCTATACATCTATGGCCAATTGATTTTCATCAAGTGTGCTAAGACCATTCAATGGGGACAAAGAGTGGTGTTGGGACAACAGAATATCTACATACAGAAGAATGAAGTTGGATCCCTACCTCTTGCTACATAAAAATTAACTCAAAATTGATCAAGAATCTAAATATAAGAGATAAAACCACTAAACTATTAGAAGAAAACATATGGGTAAATCTTCGTGATCTTGGATTTGACAATGATTCTTTAGATATGACACTAACTTCACAAGCAACAAAAGAAAAATGGATAAATTAGATTAAATCAAAATTAAAAACTTTTGTGCTTGAAAGGACACTATCAAAAGAATGAAAAAACAACCCACAGAATGGAAGAAAAATTTACAGATCATGTATCTGATAAAGGTTCTAGTTTCCCAAATATATAAAAAGACAACCCAATTAAAAAATGGGCACAGGACTTGAATAGACATTTCTCTAAAGAATATATACAAATGGCTAACAAGCACATGAAAAGACCTCAACATCATTTGTCATTAGAGAAATACAAACAAAAACCACGATACCACTTTATATCCACAAGAATGGTTATAACAGAAGAAAAAAAGGAGAATAACAAGTATTTGTGAAGAAACTGGAACCCGGGCACATTGCTTATGGAAATGTAAAGTGGTGCAGCCACTGTGGAAAAACAGTTTCATGGTTCCTGAAAACATTAAACATACAATTAGCACATGAACTAGCAATTCTACTCTTAGGTGTAGTTCCAAAAGAACTGAAACAGATATTCAAATAAGTACTTGTATAGAGATATTCATAGCAGAACTATTCAAATAGCCAGAAGATGTCCCATGTATCCAACTAGAGATTAATAAAGGAATTGCTCTCTATATATACAATGGAATATTATTCAGCAACCATGGATAAACCTCAAAAACACTATGCGCAGTGAAAGAAGCCAGACACAAATGGCCACGTATTGCATGAGTCTGTTTATAGGACAATCCAGAACAGGTAAATACATATAAAAAGAAAGCTGATTAGTGCTTGCTAGGGGCTTAGGATAGGGAAAAATAGAATGTGACTTCTTAATGGATACAAGGTTTTATTTTTGGGTAATAATATTTTGCAACTAGATATGTGCATGTACATTGTAAATGTACTAAATGCCACTGATTTGTCTGCTTTAAAATGGTTAATTTTAAGTTATGTGAATTTCATCTGAATGAAAAATTTAAATGCGAAAAAGAAAAATGAGGCACTGAAAGAACTTGGAAACGCTTTGGCTTGGTTTATTCTGTTAGATAGAGAAAGCTGTAGTATACTTTCAGGGATTCTATTCTGTAACAAATTTATGTACGATTTGAATCCCCAGGGTTTAGAAGCAAAAACTTTTTTAAATGCTAGTGTTTGAGGAACAGGAACAAAATGGAATTACTCAAAAATCAGGTCCCAGCCAATGTATTTATGTCACCTGGTCAGAATATCTTCTTTGTAATGTATTTTATGCAGAAATGGTAAGGGAGCCCCGAGAGCAAAACGCAGATGTTCCCCTACTCCAAGTACACTGGTCTAACAGTTGAAAAGAAGCAAGTGGTGAGAACACAGATGCAGGAAATACCTAATCCTCTTCTCACTAGGATCTAAGAAACCATCGCATATTAATTTGGCTGGGAACAACTTGTACAGACACTTCTGGTTTCTTTATTCTCCAGTCAAATCCACTATGTACCACTTGGCTGAAGAAGGGTTGTATTACTCGCAACTTTTAATGTAGGGGGTTTCAGTGTCTTATCCATAGATATTGTGCATTTGCATACGTGGAAGCCTTTAAGGTCTATCAAGAAATAGCTGGCATTTCAGTATGGCTGGAATACAGAAGAAAATGATCCTGTGTCTAACCTTTTGATTTGATTCTAAATATTATGAAATAGGCTCCTAAGGACTATGGCCTTTCATAGTAACAGCGGCATTAGAACTCACCATAAGGAAAAAGTACCACGGCTGGGGCACGCCATACTTCCCTGGAAAGACAGTTTCTACATACCAGGTCACAAGGCCATATAAGAAAGCATCAAGTAAAAGCATTCCCAATATATAGCCAAAGATGAGGTTATCCTCAAGGTTGGCTGGTGTCCAAAGGTTATCCCACTTAACACCAATTTCTGAAATAAAAAGGAGATATTTACCATAGATGACAGCTCTGTTATTGAAATAGCAAAGAAAAAAAGTTGTTGATACTCTAAATTTTGCCACTGTGAATTATTTGTTGATACCCTTAGTATGTAGGTCATCTAAGAAAATGATGGCATATGTAATAACATTGGTTTCTTCCCTCCCCCCTTCAAAACCTACAAAAATAAATAGGAATGACTGAGATACAGTCAACAACTAAAACAAAAATAACAATAACAAAAAGGTCAAATCAAAAGCAGATCTACTAGATCCTATCCTTCCACTTTATTCCTCATGCTAAGTTCCCGCTGAAATAACCAAGATATACAAATTTGGAAAAATATTCAACAGCAGTAGAGACAGATACTGACTACCAAGCAAAAGAGAAAAAAATGTTTTGCTTATACAACTGATAGAAAGGAGAAAAAGGAAGTCACCAAAATAAGACAAGCAATCCTTTGTTGTTCTACTTACTCTATTTCCAGAAGGAATGCAGTACAACTGAAAAAAAGATGAGGGCTTGTAGTAAACTCCTAATTCAAAGAGGCAAGACGTGAAGATGATAATGGCCCATGAAACTCATTCCTTCAACATGAGCCCTCCCTTTCCTATAGACCTGTATCATGAGAAGAATATTCATGAACATTCGGTCTTTGAGAAAGCTATAAGAAAAGGTAATAGTCTGAGATAAAAAGTATTTAGTAGAATTAAAAATGATTATCAAAATGAAAGCCATTTTGAGGCAGTGAACAGCAAATTAGAAATCACAGGAAATAGAATATAAGTTTCAGAAAGTCTACCATAACTTGAGAAATTCTCTGCCCAAAATGCATGAGCAGTTCCTAAGGGAAAATAAATAATGTAGAAAGAAAACAATCACTAAATAAAATAAAATAAAATAATCTGATAAAAAAACTGAATTAGACAACTAAAAGTGTACATCCTGTTGCAGATCAAGCCAATAAAAACCCCATATTCACTAGATCGACTCTACTAAATTTTTAATGCTTCATGTATAAAATAAGACTAATGCGAGAAACCATAGAGAAATCATATGTATGTTCTTCTAACTGGCTACTTGGAAGGAGAGTTTTGTTTACAAATGAGAAAATTAGATATCCCCAATCCTTCTCATTCATCAATAAGTGCAATGAAATTCTCACTAAATCCCAACAAGATTTTTCATAGAATTTGACAAAGTGATTAAAATTCAAGTGGAAAGCAAAGTGACAAGAATTAACTGAAGAACAGCAAGGTATGGGTACAAGACTAACAGATATTAAGACCTGTTATAAAGCTATAATGAGTAAAACCATTGTAGTATTAACGCAAAAATAGACTGAAAAAGATTAACAGAATGGAAAAGATCAGCAGAAACAGATCTACGCATATATGGAACCTGATATAAAAAAAGGTGGAATTAGAAACCGGTCGAGAACAAACTATCCAATAAATGTGTAATAGCTTGATTTTCATACTGAAAATAAAACTAAGTTCTTAACTCACAACAGAAGTATCAATTCTATGCTTATTGAAATCCCAAATTAAAAATAAAAATATATAAGTTTTAGAAGAAAATATAAGATTATTATCTGTGTGACTCTGGGTATGAAAGGATTTCTTGAATAAGACAAGTGTACAAACTAAAGGAAAAGACTGACAAACTTGAACACGTTAAATTAGGGAAGCTAACAACGCAAATGTCATTTTGGAAAGGAAGTCCATTCTAAAAAGGAAGAGAAGGAGGAAAGGCACCCCTACCCCAAGAAAGGAGTAAAAGTCAGGGACAGAGGACAGGTGCATGGACCCTAGGTTTTCCTGTTTCAGGGAAACCTGGAGAAACGTTCAGGTGGGACCACGGAGAAATCATCCAGCAGTGTGTGATGGTGGCATCGGTATTGGCGGTGAGGCACTAGATAAATGGGCCTGGGGCGGTGCTACTGGCTCCTTGGACCTTAGAAGTCAGACAGAGCTTGCATAACTTTCCACGTGTTTGGAAGGCCAGAGTCTCAGGGAGGGCCGGGAAAAGGCAGAGAACTGCGTGGGGACTTGAAGGCTGGGGCAAGGGGCCAGACCGCATTTCTAACAGATGAGGTACCAGTACATCGTCTACATGGGCTGTGTGTAATGAGTCACACTTCAGCTCAGGCTAGGTACTCTATTATAGAGGCAAGAGACTCAGAGGACACCACATAGATTTGGGGTCACCATTTCCATCCACTATAAGAGGTTTATAAATCCCCAGCCCTGCACTTATAATCTTGAAGAATACCTGTCTGAAAGACTGACTCATTCAGAAGAACCTGAATAAATCATTGTGTTAGACTTACATTACATTTATTTTCTTCAGCCCAGTAATGTAGAGTTTGGAGGAAAATTAGTTATAGGAAATAAAGAAGCTATACTTGCTTTTTACATGGTATTGTAATGTATTATTGGGAAGGATATAGGAAAACTCATGTGCTATTGAAGAATAAATTGGTCTTCTTTTTTTGAAGGTTATTGTAATAGCAATCAAAATTAAGCTATAAATACCTTATAAGAGCATTTTTGCATCTAGGAACTTATATTAGCATGCACATTGTACAAGCAAAGATATGTGTACTATTGTGGGCAACAGCAAAAAAATTGGAAACCACTTAAAAGTGTATTGATAGAGAACTAGTTAATTATAATATCCCTTCATAATGGAATATTTTACAACTTTGTGAAAAAATGGAGTGTATCTCTGTGGGAAGAAGTCTAATATATATACAGTATTAGGTGAATGTAGCAAGTTATAGGTTAGATTATTTTAAATTATTTTACTTGAGAGTATAATGTAGGTTTTGTGGAGAGATGGGAACTTTTTAATTTTTCACACTTCAGGTTTTTTTTTACAGTTCACGCAACTGCCTTCATATTAAATAAACAAATCTGGGGATAAATGATTTTCATATAACATTTCTTACCTCCTCACCCACTGTACCACCCATACTGCCTTACTCTACATTTCTAGGAATGAAATAACAAAGGCAAAATTTGCCAGGCAAACACTTACCTCTTATTTCCAACTTGAGCAGAAGATTAACCCCCAGTGCTAATGCAACATTTGAGCTGAGACACGAAGCCACCTTCTTAGTAAGGGTTATCCTTCCATAGTTTTGAGCAATATATCTAAATGGAAAGAAACTGGCAAAATATAGGATGCTTCCGGCAGAAGCAACCAACTGGACTACAAATAAGAAAGAAATTGTAAGGTCAGTTTAAAGCAATATGCAACAAATTACAAATAACTTTTTATGCTACAATAAAGGAAAAGAACGCAAGTTGTGTGAGGGAAGGAAATGTCTTTCTTTTTTACCCTTGTATCACCAGTGTCTGGCACACACTACATAAGTTCAGTAAACATGTGTTGAATGGATGAATTAATGTATATGGTGCATTAATGTGTAAGGTATTTACCACGTGTGATAAATATTTATGGTTATTTAAACAAAGATTGGCCCATACATGTGCTACAGAAAATTTCTTTTCCTTTCTAAAATTTATTCATGATCACTTGGCTTAAGAAATAAATGCACACCTTCACTATTAACATAAGTTGAATATACTTAGTGTTTTCAGAGTTTAAAATTATAAGTAGAATAAGAAGCAATTGATGAAGTTTTTAACAGATGCTTCCCATCTAAAGCATGATATTCAAAAGAAAAAAATGGTTGAATAAGTAGATAACTACTGAGAGTTGGATGTGATGAGGTCTGTAAGTATGGGATCCTAGAGACTAGGAAAATTATTCTTGTCAAGCTTACCATCAAGATGATATAAAATCAATATTGATGAAAAAAGTAAAAACACCCAAATAAAACTATAATGTTATAAATTACTTTTTTCTTTAAATCGCCTTATTGAGGTATTACTGACACACAAAAAGCTATAATATTTAATGTGAACTCGATGAGTTTGAAAATAAATATACACCCATGAAACCATCAACACAATCTATGCTATAAAGAAATCCATCACCTTCCAAATTTCTTACTGCCCTTGTATTTTTTGGTATAAGAATACTTAACATAAGACCTACCCTCTTAGCAAAATTTTAAGTGTACAATACAGTACAATTTGCTACATATAGGCACTACGTTGTACAGCAGATCTCTAAGATTCATTCACCTTGCATAATGAAACAGTGTACCCCTTGACTAATACCTCCCTACTTCCCTCTACCCACAGTCTCTGGAAACCACCATTCTATATCTCCTTCTGTAAGTTTGACTATTTTAGATTTCTTATAAAAGTGGTGTCATGTACTATTTGTCTTTCTGTGTCTGGCTTATTTCACTTAGCATAATGTTCTCCAGGTTCATCTGTGTTGTAAATGGCAGAATTTCCTTCTAAGATAGAATAATATTCCATTTTGTGTATATACCACATTTTCTTTATCCATTCATCTGTCAAAGAATATTTAGGTTGCTTCCATGTCTTGGCTGTTGTGAATAATACTGTAATGAACATCGGAGTGCAGATATTTCTTTGAGATACTAATGTAATTCCTTTGGTTATATACCCAGAAGTACAACTGCTGGGTCATAGGGTAGCTCTATTGTTAATTTTTTGAGGAACCTGAAAACTGTTTCTATAGTGGCTGCACCAAGTGTACATTCTCACCAACAGTGCACAAGGGTTCCCTTTTATTCACATCCTCATCAACATATGCTATCTTTTGTGGGATTTTTTTGGGTAATAGCCATCTTTACAGTTGTGAGGTAATATCTGAATTTCAGTGTTACCACATTATAAAATTTAAGTTTAAATGTCAAGTTAGAAATATATCACAAGGCATTTAAAGAAACAAGTAGGGCTCATCCAAAGGAAAGAGAATAAATCAACAGCAATAGTCCCTGAGAAAGATCAGATGGTAGACTTACTAGACTAATAGTTTAAGATAAATGTTCTAACGATGCTCCCAAAACTAAGGAAGATGAAGAGGAGCCCAAGAAAATGATGTATGGACAAAACGGAAATACCAATAAAATCGTAGAAAACATAAAAAAGAACAAAAAAATTTCTGGAGCTGAATAATACAGTAAGAGCAATGAAAAATTCACTAGAGGGCTTCAAAATCAAATTTTCATAGGTAGAATAATGCCGCGTCCTCTTTCTACCCTACTGCGTGACAAGGTCTGGAGATGGAGACAGAGGCTTCAAGGAATGCATCGTCAAGAACAAGGACGTGGCCTGGGTTTAGGGATAATTGGTTTCTTCGAAATGATCCTATTAGCTTCAAAATCAAATTTTCATAGGTAGAATAAAGAGCTAAGGACATACAGAAGAAGCCACCCCAAGACCAGTAGGAGGGGCGGAAATGCCGAACGAGCTGGTCTCACAAGCACGTGTGGAGGTGAACTTGAAGACAGTACAACTGAAATGATTATTTCTGAAGAATATAAAGTAAAAAGATTGAGGAAAGGTAAACAGCATAGGAACCTGTGGTACACCATGAAGTAGATCAACATATGCCTTGTGGGAGTTCAAGAAAAAGAAAAGAGAATGAAGGAGAGATTAGATGAAATAGTGGCTAAGAATTTCCCAAATTTGATGAAGACATGAATATAAACATCCGAGAAGTTCAACATACTCCATGACCATGACCTCAAAGTGACCCACATGAAGACACATTATAATCAAACTGTTGAAAGCTAAAAGCAAACAGAGAAAGCAGCAAGAAGAGGTACTTGTCACATGTAAAAGATCCTCAATAAGATTATCAGTAGACTTCTCATCAGAAATCTTGGAGGCCAGAAGGTATATTTGAACTGCTGAAGAAAAGAGAGTGTAAATCGAGAATTCTTAATGCAGATTTCTAGTCAAGAAGGTGAAGTAGATAAACATTGTGCTGGCCTCCTCTCACAGCCTATCAAAATTATGACTAAACTACAGAACAACCATCACTGAGAATCACCTGAAGTCTAGCTGAGTCCTACAACTAAGGACATACAGAAGAAGCCACCCCAAGACCAGTAGGAGGGGCGGAAATGCCGAACGAGCTGGTCTCACAAGCACGTGTGGAGGTTAAAAATTGGGAGGACTATCTTGGCTGCGGAGGTCTCAGTGGAGGAACAAGGGGTCCCAGTCCCACATCAGGCTTCCCAGCCCAGGGTTCTAGTGCTGGGATAAGAAGTTCCCACAACTTCTGGCTGTTAAATCCAATGGAGATTGTGGCTGAATTAGACAGAGGGCTGATGGAGAGCCAGGGGTTCCTCTTAAAGGGCTTGTGTGTAGTCTTACTCGCTGATGGACTCACTCTCTCTGAGCTCCAGCACTGAGGCAGCAATGCCAGGGACATGCAGTTTTCTCCCAGACAGAAGTGCTGGCTGAAGCCACCACTTTCCTTTGTTGAGCCCTCTCCTTTCCAGTGTGCAGACACAGGAGGCAACCATATCTGAGTCTTCATCAACCTGGCTAACACTCATTACCCTGCCCTAGTGATTCCTTGAGACTGCCCCACCCAACTTCTGGGCTCACCTAAGCCACTTCCAGTGGCTTTTCCATACAAACAACCTGTCTTGATTCATGGAGCAGACTTTCCTAAAATCTCTCAAAGGTTCACAAACCTCAAGTAAGTAGCATCTGGTCTTGGCGTGTCCTGTACCTGTCACTGAGCAGCCTCAAGCCCAGCACTAGCAGGAGCCAGCTTCAGTTCATGGCTTGGCCTCTCTAGGCACCTCTAAGCCCAGAGCAAGTGGTGGCCACCTGAAGATAGCTTGGTGGCTCATGCCAGATGGCCCTAGAAAAGGAATAGGCTGCAGCTGAACTTGGCCTATCGTGGGGCCTTGGGCCTAGCACACCCGGTGGCCAGCTTCAGACCACTCTGGAGCACCACCCAGGGCTGCATCTAAGGACAACACACCCAAAGGGTGGACTGGGCAGGCACCAGAGTTCTGCTAAAGTAAATCCCGCTCCACAGAGTCAGCCCCTCACCAGCCATTCCTCACAATCAATCAGCCCAAGGTTCAATCCCTCTCACAGACGTGCAAAGAGCAACCAAGGCTCAACCACAACAGGAGAGCACATACAAGCCATACAAGGGACACACCTGGAGCAACTAGCTCAGGTGACCAGGGAAGACTGTGCCACTAGGTCCCACAGCATATCTACTACACAAGGCCACTCTACCAAAACCTCCGCACTATTTTCCATTGAGGCTGCACCATTTTGCATGCCCACCAACAATGCATAAAGGTTCAAATTTCTCCACATTCTTATACACTTGTAATCTTTGGCATTCAATAGTAGCCATTCTAATAGGTGTAAGATGATCACCTCATTGTGGTTTTGATTTGCATTTCTCTGATAAGTGGTTTTGAGCATCTTTTCACATACCCATCAGCCATTCAGGTGTCTTCTCCAGAGAAATGTCTATTTAGTTCTTTGGCCCATTTTTCTTTTTCTCTCTCTTTTTTTTTTTTTTTTGCTATTGAGTTACAGGAGTTCCTTATATTTTGGTTATTAACCTTTTATCAGATGTATACATTTCTCTCACTCCACAGGTTGCCTCTTTAGTTATTTCCTTTATTGGCCAAAAACCTTTTAGATTGATGTAACCCCACCTGTTTTTGCTTCTGTTGCCTATCATTTTGGTGTCAGATCTATGAAATCATTGCCAATATCAAAGTCGAGATGCTTTCCTCCTGTTTTCTTCTAGGAGTTTTACAGTTTCGAGTCTTACATTTAAGTCTGTAATCCATTTCAATTATTGGGTATGGTGTAAGATTGAGGCTTAATTTCATTGCTTTGCATGAGCATGTCCAGTTTTCCCAATATCATTTGTTGGAAAAAACCATCCTTTCCCCATTGTGTGCTCTTGGCACTCATGCTGAAGATCAGCTGACCATATACGTGTGGTTTTATTTCTGGGCTATTTGTTTCTATTGGCATGCATGTTTTTTATGTCAGCACAATAATTTCAATTACTGGTAACTTTGTAATATATTTTGAAATCAGGACGTGTGATGTCTCCGGCTTTGTTCTTCCTTCCCAAGATTGCTTTGGCTATTTAGGGTCTTTAGTGGTTCCATCACTCTCAACAATTGAGATCATTCCTTTTATTTCTAAGATACCCTTAAGAGGATGAACAAACCTTAAGGTCAAGAAGGGATGGTGTGGGAAGGGGAGATGCTAAGTCAGAAAGAACATCCATGCCACCCTGCAAAGGTTAAATGGACCAGGTATAAATCACTGGCATGCAGCAGAGGCGCTGAGGTGGGGGGAAGGAGGGCTGCCATTCCATGATTATTCCAGCCTGCACTGAGGTACTGCCCTCTATTTATTTGTCTGTGAGTTGTTTCTCCCCGCAGACAGTGGGCATCTCGGGGGTCCTTGCTTTTCTTGGTTTCCTCGCCAGGACCTAGGACAGCACCAGTAGGGTTCCTTCCTGCCACCACCCACCCCAATTTCTGTATAACCTGCCATTGGGGTTTTGATAGAGATTGCATTTAATCTATGGATCACTTTAGGCAATATAAACATTTTAACAATATTAAGTCTTCTAATCCATAAACACAGGATGTCTTTCCCTTTGTGTTTAATTTCTGGTCATCAACAATTTGTAGTTTCAGTATACAAGTCTTTCACTTCCTTAGTTAAGTTTATTCCTAAGTACCTTATTCCTTTTGATGCTATTGTAAGAGGGAATATTTTGATTTCCTTTTTGAATAGTTCATTGTTAATAAATAGAAATGCAATTGATTTTTTAATGTTGATTCTGAATCCAGCACTTTACTGAATTTATTAGTTTTAACTTTTTTTTTCATGGAGTCTTTAGGATTTTCTAATAAAAGACCATGTCATTGGCAGAGATAGTTCTTCTTTCTTTCTGATTTAGATGCCTTCTCTTTTTCTTCCCTAATTGCTCTGGCTAGGACTTCCAGTACTATGCTAAACAGAAGTGGTAAGAGTGGGCATCTTTGTCTTGTTCCTGATCTTAGATGAAAATTTTTTTTTTACTGTTAAGTTTAATGTTAATTGTGGGCTTCTCATATATGGCCTTTATTATGTTGAGGTACCTTCCTTGTATACCTAATTTTTTGAACACATTTTCATGAAAGGGTACTGAATTCTTTTCAAATCCTTTTTCTACATCTATTCAAATGATCATATGATTTTTATCTTTCATTCTATTAATGTGGTGTAACATATTAATTGATATGTATGTGTGTTAAACCATCTTTGTATCCCAGAGATAAATCTCAGGTGTGGTATATGATCCTTCTAATGTGCCTGTGAATTCAGTTGGCTAGTGTTTTGTTGTTCATCAAGGTTATTTGGCCTGTAGTTTTCTTGTGGTGTCTCAGTCCCACTTGGGTATCAGAGTGATTCTGGCCTCATTAAAAGAGATTCTCTTCAACTTTCTGGAAAAGTCTGAGAAGCTTAATGTTTAGATGTTTGGTAGAACTCATCCTACTCGGACTTTTCTTTATTGTGAGGTTCCTGATTACTGATTCAATCTCCTTATTTGTTACTGGCCTCTTCGGGTTTTCTTTTTGTTCTTAATTCAGTCTTAGTAGATTATATGTTTCTAAGGAATTATATATTTCTTCTAGGTTTTACAATTTGGTGGTGTATAATTGTTTATAACACAGTAGTTCCTCCATACCTGTATGGGATACATTCCAAGACCCCCAGTGGATGCTTGAGACCATAGATAGCACCAAACCTTATATGTACTGCTTTTTTCCTATACGTACAACCTATGAGAGTTTCTTTTAATTAAAAATTTTTTTCTTTATATTTTTCATTAAATTTATTAGGATGACATTGGTTAATAAAATTATATAGGTTTCAGTTGTACAATATTATAATGCATCATCTGTATATTGCACCGTGTGTTCACCAGCCAAAGTCAAAACTCCTTCCATCAACACATGTTTTTTTACCTCCTGTTAAAACATTTCATGTGAAATTCACCTTCTATGACAGAATGTAAGCCAAGACTATACATGAGGTGGCAAGAAGGAGCTCCCAAACATGATCCTATTTTGGCTAATGAAAACAGAAATTGTGTTACAGGAGAAGTCTTGGACTCACCTTTATTGAAGAACGTGCTAACCATAAAGCCAAAAAATACTGAAGCAATGGCATAACACATCAGAAAGACGAAGAAGAAACTATAGTCACTGTAGCAGAAGATTGACTTATTGAAAATCTACGATGAAACAATTATGACATAACGTAAGGCACACAATAAGGAGTGTCACATAAACACAAGGGAAAGGGGAGAAAATGATGGCCCTAAAGAAATTGATCACACAGCTCAATGACTGAAGCTCTATGAGATGGAACGTTAACTAGATGACTTATTTCTTACAGAAAGGTTTAAATGTTTCTCAGAGATTCAGCAGCCCATGAGTTTCCATAGAGACAATAAAAGCCATATTTCACCTCCTGGAAACCTGAGACCAAGCAGTCCACACTTGAGAGGGCTGACTTTATCATTCTCAAAGGACAGCTATAGCAGGCTGCAGTCAAGTAGAACTGAGATGTTTAATATAGTGGACATTAACCCCATGGAGCTACTGAAAATTTGAAATGTAGCTAGTGTGACTGAGGAACTGAATTTCGGAGCTACTGAAAATTTGAAATGTAGTGTGACTGAGGAACTGAATTTTTATCATCATTTAATTTTAGTTATTTAAAATCTAAATCAAATAATAAAAGCAGTGCCAAATACATACTAAGTATTTCTAATGAAAATATAGCATATGAATTGGGATGTGTTATAAATATAAAACATACTGCAGTTTAAAGACAGTACAAAAAAGAATGTAAACTATCTAAATTTTTAGATTGGTTTCATGTTGAAATATTTTCTATGTACTGGGTTAAATTAAATATATTATTAAAATAATTTCACCTGCTCTTTTTACTCTTTAAAATTTCTAGTGGTTGCTAAAAATTTAATATTATATATGAGATTCATATTTCTACTAGACACCACAAAATTAGACACTTACCTTGACAAAGAATAACAGACATATCAGAGAGATAATAATGATATAAAAAAAGATGACTATGAAGAAATAGGAAGCCCAGAGCATCCAGTTTCTAAGTCCACTTATAAGTTGGTACTCCTGTAGAAAAGTCAACACAAATTAATTACATATATCAAAAATTCACAGTGCTTTTGCATACATTTTTAAAATTAAATTCCCATAAAACCTATATAAATGGGTCATTTCAACTCTATTTTGTGAATGAGAAAAATTAACGCTCAGAAAGTCAAATGTGTTGATTAAAATTATGCAGTTAGTAAGGGCAGTACTGGTATTAAAATATATTTCTCCTGAGTTCAGATATCTTTTTTTAATGCCATTGGACAAAAGTGAAAAGCATTTTAAATGAAACTTTGAAATATAAAGATCTCTTTTATATTATACTTTACATCCAGGAATACTAGAGAAATGTGATGTATTTTTTTTTTTTAATCTAATTGTAAGTTAGGCGTCAGCTGTTACTTCTTATGCTTGCTCCTCGTAGGCAGTGTGTCTTCTTGCCCACTCTGGCTGCTTTCGAAGATTGTGTCTGGTTTTCAGCACTTTGAATATAGTGCTGTGTGTCTGTGTGTATCCTGCTTTGTGTTCTGAGCTTCTTCAATCTGTGGTTTGATATCTATCATTAATTTTGGCAGAAATGGCAGAAAAATCTCTGCCATTATTTCCTTAGCATTATTCTCTCATCTACTTTTGGGGATTCCAATTATGTACATGTTATATCATATGATATTGTCCTATACCTTTTGGATGCTTTTTTACTGAATTTTTAAATTTTGTCCTCTCTGCATTCAGTTTGTGTAATTTCTATTGTCCTGTATTGAATTCTACGATTCTTTCTTCATCAAAGTCAAGTCTACTGATGAACATGTCAAAGGCACTCAACATTTTTATTTGCACTTTTTTTATTTCTAGCAATTTCATTTGACTCCTTATAGTTTTGATCTCTCTGATAGCATTACCTATCTGATTCTGTACGTTATCTACTGTGCAGAAAAGAGCTAATGATTAAAGCTTGAGACTATTAGAAAGGCATGTTTGCAAGGTTGACCCTTGGCTGGTAAACTACTCCCTACACTGATATAAAACTTTCCCTAAAAGATAGGGTGGGTGACTGTGCCTGAACCATTTGTACATACAGCATGGTTTACGCTGGACACCTGCTTTCTAGCACTTTGGAATTTTGGTACATGCTAGGCAGAGGATGCCTACATGACCTGGTTCCAATAAAAACTCTGGGTACTCATCCGTGAACAGGAACATCACAAATATGCTGCTGGATTTTCATTGCTGGGGCAAGAGTGTACTCTGTGTGACCTCTTGTGAGGTCACCTGAGGAAGCCTGCAGGTGAATTCCTCCAGGTCAGCCTGTGATATTTCCTCTTGTGGAGATTTATTATACCACTCTAATAAATTTCAGCCATGAGCATAACTATGTGCCTAGTCTCACAAGTCCTACTGAAATTTCAAAAATGGAGGTGGTCTTGAGGATCCTGGACATACACCTTTCCCTGTAGACTCTTTAAACTCCTAATCATAGTAATTTAAAATTCCTTGTCTCATATTTTGGGTATGTGTCCTAGCTGAGTCTGGTTCTGATGACTGATTTGCCTCTTCGGCTGTGTTTTTTCTTAAATTTTGGTGTGCCTTGTAATTTTTTGTTGAAACCCAGATATATTATCTAGGATGGTAGATATCAAGAAATAAGTCTAAAGTGTGGGAATTTATGTTAATTTCGTCAGGAGTTGAGTTGTGTTTGAAATTTCTCTTGGTAGTAGAGACTTCAAATTCTTCTGGTGACCCCTGTCTCCTGCCTTGCCTTCAGGTTTTCCCTTTCTGCTGCTCCCTAGAGACAGTTTGCTTCTGAAACTGCCAGCCTGGAAAAGCGGCATCACTTCCTGTTCTATATTTGTTCCTATGGGTGTAACATCTACCTACCAATCCTGAATATGTAGAAATAGTCCAACTATCATACAAAAAAGCTCCACAGGCCTAAAAAAGTCTTTACAGAAATCTTATCAGCCAATAGCTGGGATTACCTTCAACCTGTTCTCCTTTTCCCACACAAGCGACCGCATGATGGAGAGCACAGTCGGAGAGAACATGAGTATGAACATCAGAGGGAGGAAACTACTCGAGATCCAAATCAGCCTATCATGAAAATAGACTGGATACGGGTATCTTTGCACAAAGATGCTGATGTTGTCAAACATTTTCTGCGCAGTGTTGCTCCCATGGTGTAGCATGATGGCCTTGTCCAAGGCATGCTGTGTGGCCAGGAAACCCTCGCTGATGTACCCTGCACGGTAAAACTAACACTGTCAAGTCAGACAGACTAAAGACTAGCTCAGACATTCAAGGAACAAGGCGATGCAAGTAAGTCACATCTTGTTACCTGCAGAACAGAAATTTACTGTTGAACGTAATTACTCTGAGAACGTCATAGTTTTGACACAGAAGGGATGCTTCTTCAGCTGAATCTGATTCACATCCCCAAAATCTACTTAATGAAAGTGGTAGGCTTGCTAAATGTGATTTATATTTATAAAAAGAATACAGATTTAAATAAATATTGAAGAGACAAAGAGTTGGAAATATAAAAAAAAAAAAAAAGAAATGAAGCTCAGAATGACAGATATACTCCAGTGAGTAATGTAGAGTGGTCCCAAGGAAAAGTGTTTCACCGAAACCAAGTTGGCCATACAACTAAAAGGCAGCTTAGGGTATCATTTGATTTTCTTTACTAATTTTTAAGGTTGGAACTCAGATAACTAATTTTAGACTCCTCTGTTCTTATAATATGAACATTTAAAATGATAAAGTTTTCTCTAAGCATTGTATCCCTCAAATTCTGCTCCCAAATCTGAATATGTCATGTTTTGTTCATGACTCATTTAAAATATTTTGTCTTTGTGACTTCTCTGATTCATGGATTATTCAGAAACATGTTGTTTAACGTCCAAATATCTGCAATTTTTCTAATTACAGTTGAACCCTGAACAACATGGGTTTGAAATGTACAGGTCCACTTTTATGCAGATTTTTTTCAATACCTGGACTAATCCCTACTTGGAAATCTGTAGATGCAGAGGGCTGGCTATATGATTGATCTACACTATTTTATATAGGGAACTTGAACGTCCATAAGTTTGGGTACCCAAGGGGAGTCCTGGAACCAATTCCAAACAGATATCAAAGAAAAACTAAGTTTTTGGGCAGTCAAAATTTATACATAGACTTTCAACTGCTGAGATCCGGGATTAGTGCCCCAACCCCAATGTTGATTGAGGGTCAGCTGTTATCTTATCGAGCTCTAGTTTAATTCTATCAGAGAACATACTCTTTATGATTTCATTTCAATGAGATTTATTTTATAAACCAGCATAAGAGTTATCATAGTGAAAATACCATGTGCCCCTTAAAAAAAAAATCTGTGTTCTACCAATGTTGAGTATTTGCTCTACAAATGTCAATCAGTTCAAAAAAAATTGAAAATGTCATTCCTATCACATACTTCTTTAAATTTTTTTTTGTTGTTTAGATGTTCTATCAATGCTGGAAAGATACTGATATCTCCATCTATGATTGTGGAATTGCCAAATTCTCTCTTTAATTCTGTCAATTTTTGCTTTGTGTATCTTAAGTCTCTGTTATTAGATGCATACACATTTATAATTGTTACATTCTCCTGACCAAATAGGCCTTTTTCTTGAAATCTATTTTATCTTTACATGTCTATATTTGCTTCAGCCACTTTACGGTTATTGTCTTTAATTAAATTTAGGACTCTTCCAGACATTTTCCTACACATATTTTTTTATCTTCTCTCTTATCCCTCAAGGACTCTAATTGCACGTTTGAACTTTTTGTATTTCCCCACATTTCACTAAAAGTCCATTTTTATTTTTTTGTTTTTTAGATTGGATGCATTTTACTATTCCAACTTCACTTACTCTCTCCTGTCATCTTCACTTGGCTATTAAATATTTCCTGCATTTTCCAATTCTAGACTTTTTGTTTTATTCCTTTTTTATCATTTCTCTTTCTCAGTTGACATTTTAAAAATTGTTTCTTTCACAGTGCACTTATTTTCTCTTATTTCAAAGAGAACAGTTATAATAACCACCTTAAAAGTCCTAGTCTGCTAAGTCCCATATTCTGGGATTCCTTGGAGTCTCTGTCAGTTGATATTAAGACACAGTATACAAAATCACTTATAGTAATATGATTGATTATTGGTGTAAGAATAGACAGACTAACAGGAAAAAGAGAATTTTAAGACAGATTATCTTAATATTTTGTCAATATGAAGGCAAAATATTACTGTATCCCTAACCAAAACCACATACAAATGTGAACTTGTCATGCATTAACCACCAAATTGTAGAAGGAAAAACTATAAAGGAGAAATAGTAGAAGAATATTTTTGAACTTAGGAGTAGGGACGGACTCCTTAAATGAAAACCTAAAAGAAGGAACCACATGGCAAAAAATAATGAATTACGTCAAACTCAAGATTTCTGTTCAATAAAGGACAACATGGATAAAACCAGAAATTGGAAAAGTACTTTTAACATTTGGAATTAAACATACATGGAACTCTTGAATGATTATAAATCTTTAAATAAATCTTTAAATAAAGTTTGTGTTACATGATTTAAAATTCTCTGTTCTGTAAAGGGATTGTTGTTTTTAAGTTTTAAAATATCTAAAAGGTTCTTTTGTGGTGATATAAATACATGTTAAGCACAGTTTCCCATTTCTCCCTTGTTCCATGTAATAGATATCTTAATTTTCTACTCTTTCCTGTCAATCCTTCTTAGTCTTTGTACCTTTATATTTTGCTAACTCCTCCTTAACTTGAATGTTACCAGCATTCAGTCCTTCGTTCTCTCTTCTCTAACATTCTCCACCCCCCAAATAGTGTGGTATTAGGGAAGTCTAAGGGCGTACTGTCTGTTTCCAATATGCCACCTGCCACTGAGAAGTGAAATGACAAAATCAAATCCCAATATCTGCGGGATTCATTCATTCATTCATTCATTCATTCTCCAAAATATATACGTCGATTATAGAAATTATTATATAAATTGTGAAACACAGGTCATGGTCTTTTTTGTTTACCAACAGTATAAAATAAAATTTTGTGTTCAGATACAAACAAAAACCAAAGATAAACTATGACTGTTACCACCTGGAGAGAGTCATCCACAATCACATGACGTCGTTTCTCTTATTCATGCTAAATATCGCTACGTCTCTCTCATAACTTCCCGAGATACTGAGTACTTCTTCACTGCTCACACGAGGTCTGTAATGACCTACTTTCCTCCTAGCCTCGTCTCTAACAGCCTCCCACAAGCACCCTCTAATGTAGCTATTAAAAAATAAAGCGAACAAACAAAGGCCACGTAGCTCCCTGAATGCTGCACCCTGATCTCCACATGTTCGCAGTTTTATTTCCACTGCCTGGAATAGTCCCCATCCGTCTCCACTTAGCTTATTCATACAGGTACCTGGAGGTTCAACTTAAATTACTTTTTTCTCAACAGACTATTTCATAAAGATTAATGACTAATAGGTTCATCTATTCTCTTACTGGTTATGTGGTTTCTAATTTTTGTTGCTAACGCTAGAATGTACTAGCTTTTTTCTTCTATTTAATATCTGCTAAAGATAAAATCTCAAGATAATTGGCAAACCCAAATTAAAGGCTTTTAACATATGATAATGCGTGAAATAAAAATATGAATTAAAAATTACCATCACAATGTAAAAATTTTTAGACCAAATCAAAAAAATTGTACATAGATGTAAATAGGCAAGTAATGCCAACAAATGAAAATGCGTGTTATATGGAAAATATAACACTAAATCACAACTACGTAAAGACAGAGATGCTGATGTAAGAATTGAAAGAGAATAAAACAGGATACAGGTATGTTACATATATTTTTAGGTTTGCCAAATATGTAACATTGAAGTTGTTTTGGTAGAATATAAGTTTAATTTTCAAAATTACCACAATAAGAACAAACAGATCTATTACATATATAATTGTGTGTATATATATATGTGTGTATATATATATGTATATACACATTGTATATATGTATAAACAATAATATATAAAACACAAAGTCTACAGTTGTGTGTGTGTGTATGTGTGTCTGTGTGTGTATACACGTATATATATATCAATAAAACCATATGTGTGTGTGTGTGTGTTAGTATGTAACTGTGAGGCGTATTTAAGGGTCTGCTCACCAGGACTTCCTCCATCATGAAAGTCTGGGTTCCTGGGTCCTGAAGAGGAATGAATAGGGAAAAGTAAGGATGTTTTCCAGCCTGTCACATCTGGCCACACGATAGTCCTCTGTATCCTAACAAAACGCAGATGATATTTTATCTAGAAATAGCAATAGGAAACAAACTATGCTTAAAACCAAATAAACTAAAAAGCAAGTATTAGAAATAAAAGAAAGTTAAGAACATATGAAAAACCATGTGATTTAAAAGAGGAGAATTCATCTGATGTCAAAGTAATACTGAATGCCTGGCATTGAGTGACACCAAGCACGACATATATGTTCCAATCACATCTACATCTGAAGTCCTCTGAAAATGAAGACAGTTCACAAAAACAAGATATCATGTGACCCATATACATGACAAGCATCTCCATGTCACACAATGAAATAAATGCAAATTAAAACCACAGAGATGTATTTCTTACCTATCATACTAGAAAAATCAAAAGCTTAACAACACACTTTGTTAGTAAGACTGTAGACCAAGAGGCACTTTAATTCATTGCTTGTGGGATACAAAATGACACATCTGTAATGGAGAAACTGGTAATGTTTAACAAAACTACATATGCATTTACTGTTTGATTCAGCAATCCTGCTTCCAGAAACAGACTTGAAATACACATCTCCAACAATATGAAGATGACATATGCACAAGTTTGTTTGTTGTTACATTATCTGTGGTGGAAACATGTTGAAATTAGTTGCTCATACACAGGAGACTGTATAAACTATGGCGCCTTGACACTAGAGAGAGCTATGAATCTGTTCATGGTATAGTCAGAAAACAGAAATCAGGCTAGATAACTGAAAGGGTAAGAGAATTCTAAGGTAGCAGGTAAAAGTGGCGGCCACCAGCCCGCCCTAGGACTGAGGGAAGAAAAGCAAGAATTCGGCCTGCCAGCAGGAGACCTCTAGTGCCCTGTGAAAAAAGACTGACTTTGCCTGGTTCTATTCAGTAGTTTTACCAATGATTTTGATTAAATATGTATGATATGTTTGCCAAATTGCAGAGAACACAAGGGATAATTATATTAGATGACAGAATTCAAATATTTTCTAAAAACGTCAATAAGCTGAAATAATGTCACAGCAGACAAGATAAAAATTATTTTAAAAAATTCATGAAAATCCTTTTTTTAGGTCCATAACACCATTTAGGAAGACACTGGAGAGAAGTAGCTAAACTATGTCATTCTATGACAAATGCCAGGGATTTACAGTTGGCTGTACATTCAGCCTGATGATATGAATGCAAAAGGCAAGTTAAATCCAAGACAGAGTTAATAGTGTCAGGGACTATTCCTTCCATCCTCAGAAAAAGACAGATCAGTTTTGGTTCTGGGGATATGTTTATTTAAATCTTTCGCTCATCTTTGAAACTGTGCTTTTTATTACTATGTTGTAGGACTCTAAAAATATCTTGGATACTAGCACATCATCACATATGTTTCACAAATAAATTTTCCAACACTATACCTTGATAATTCATTTCATTAAGTGTATTTTAAAACATTTTTAAGTACTTAAGGTATTTTAAGTCTTTGTTAAGAAAATTGTAGATTTACATGTAGTTGTAAGAAATAACAGACTGTGTGTAATCTTTAACTACTTTCCCAAGGATAACATCCTGACATTGACACAAATCACTAAGTAAGACTGGAGTTCCACAGGTTTGGACTCGTGTGTCGTATGCTTTAAATTCTGTATGACTTCATCATATGTGAAAGCTCAGGTACCACTCATCACAGTCAAGATATCAAACGGTTCCATCACCCCTTTATTCCCCCATAGCTATCCCTTGACGATCAAGAATATGTTCTCCATTTCTAAAATGTTATAATTTTTATTTATTTATTTACCGTTTAATTTATATTTTTTCCCCTCCCCATCCCCTTGCCCCCTCCCCTCTGGTAACCACTGGTCCATTGTCCGTGTCCATGAGTCTGTTTGTCCTGTTCATTTGTTGCTTTTAGGTTTATATCCCACATACAAGTGTTACCATGTGATTTTCAACCTTTTCTATTTGGCTTATTTCGCTTAGTATGATTATTTCAAGGTCCATCCATGTTTGGCATTTTGTGTGTGTGTGGTTACCATTAAGTTTGTGTTACAAATGGCAGTATTTCATCTCTTCTTACGGCTGAGTAATATTCCATTGTATATATGTACCACAGCTTTTTAGCCAATCATCTATTGTAGGACACTTTGGTTGCTTCCATGTCCTGGCCACCGAGAATAATGCTGTTATGAACATCGGTGTGCAAATATCTTTTCGGATATGAGCTTTCTGTTTTCCACGGTGGCTGTACCAGTTTGCAGTCCCACCAGCAGTGTATGAGGGTTCCTATTTCTCCATATCCTCTCTAGCATTTATTTCTTGTCCTGTTGATTATAGCTATTCTAACAGGTTATTTTACAGTATTCTTGTCTGAGCCTTTGTATTTCTGTGGCATCCATCATAACTTCTCTTTCATTTCTGACATTGTGTCTTTTCTCTTTTTTCCTTAGTAAGTCTAGCCAAGGGTTTTATCTTTTCGAAAAACCAGATCTTTGTTGCATGAATTTTTTCTATTGTCTTTTTTTCTCAAAGTCATTCATTTCTGCTCTAATTTTTATTATTTCCTTCTTTCTGCTGACTTTGAGCTTCATTTGTTCCTTTTTTTTCTAGTTTTTGAAGATGTAATGTTACACTGTTTATTTGGGACTTTTCTTGTTTCTTGAGATAGGCTTGTAACGATATAAACTTTTCTCTTACTGCTTTTGCTGTTATCACAAAAGTTTTGATACATTGCATTTTCATTCTCATTTGTTTCTATGCATCTTTTGATCTTTCCTTATTTCTTCTTTCATCCGGTCCTCCTTTACTAGAACGTTGTTTCAGCCGCATGTATTTGTGGGTTTTCCTGTTTTATTTTTGAAAGCTGATCTCCAGTTTCAAAGCATTGTGCTTGTAGAATATGCTTGGTATGATTTTAATCTTCTTGAATTTGAGACTAGTTTTGTGTCCCAACATACGGTCTTTGAGAATGTTCCACGTGCACTAGAGAAGAATGTATAAGCTGCTGTTTGGGATGACAGGTTCTGTAAATGTCAACTATACCCAGATGGTCTAACGTGTCATTTAAGGCTGATATTTCCTTATTGACTTTGTTTGTATGATCTATCCATAGCTGACAGTGGGGTATTTAGGTCTCCTACTATAACTGTGTTTTTGTCAGTTTCTTCCTTTAGTTCTGTTAATAGCTGCTGTACGTACTTCACGGCTCCCTGATGGGGAACGTGCATATTAATAAATGTGATGTCCTCTTGCTGTATTGCTCCCTTTATCATTATGAACTGTCCATCTTTGTCTTTCGTTGCTTTTTCTATCTTGAAGTTTATTCTATCAGATATAAGTACAGCTATACTTGTGTTTCTGGATACCGTTTGCTTTGAGTATCGTTTTCCATCCTTTCACTTTTTTGTCCTTGCAGCTGGGATGTGTCTCTTGAAGGCAGCATATGGTCGGTTTTGTTCTTTGATCCAATCTTCTACTCTGTGCCTTTTTATTAGTGACTTTGGTCTATTTACATTTAGGGTAATTATTGATATATGAGGATTTTCTATAGTCATTTTATCTTTTGTTTTCTGGTAGCTTGGTGTCTCCATTGTTTGTGTTTCTGTTATTTTAGTTTGGTGGTATTCTATGATTTTTTAATGTTTCCTCTTTTTATGTTTTGTGTCTCGGTTTTGCATTTTGTGTGTGTGTGGTTACCGTTAAGTTTGTGTAAAAGAAAGATTCATATATATAGTCCTTTTTCTTCTGTGTGTGTCTAATCTCTATTCCCCTTTGCAAATCCAGACCTTTACTCCTTCCCCTTATATGTTTTTGTTGTCACAAATTTAAAAAAAATTATGTTGTGAGTTCATTTCTGAGTTGTGGTAGGTACTGTCTTCCTTTTGTTTTTTAAATGTTTTTACCCCCTTTAACCATCAGGTAATATTTAAGCATATAAGACCTTGTTCTGAATAAGGGTTGCAATTTCCTGCTTCTGTTACTCGTCTTACTCTTACTTGTATGTGCTTTTTATCTTTTTGTTTCAGGTAGAATAATCTCCTTCAGTATTTCCAGTAATGCAGGCCTTGTGGTGGAAAATTCCCTCAGCTTTTGTACATCTGGAAAGGTCTTTATTTCGCCTTCGTATCTAAAGGATCACTTTGCTGGAGATATTATTATTCTCTGGTAATTTCTCTCTTTCAATAGTTTGAATATTTGGTTCCACTTCCTCCCAGCTTGTAGAGTTTCTGCTGAAAAATCAGACGGTAATCGAATGAGATTTCCTTTAGAGGTTACAATCTTTTCCCCGGCTGCCTTTAAAATTCTGTCATTAATTTTTGAAAGTTTTAATCTAATGTGCCTTGGAGAAGGCCTCTCTGGATTGAGATAATTAGGTGTTTGTTTGCTTCTTGGATTTGAGAATCCAGTTCTCTCTCTCTTTTTCCATCTGTGTCATTTCTATCTTCGATGTCGCTAATTCTTTCCTCCCCCCGTCAGCTCTATTTCCTAAGCTTGCTATTTCATTCTTCATCTCTTTTACTGAGTTTGTGAACTCCAGAATATCTATTTGGTTCTTTTTTAAGGTTTCAATCTCTTTAGTAATACGTTCTTTTTGTTCATTGATTTTATTTGAGTTCATTAAACTGCCTATCAGTTTTCCTCCATCTTGCTGAGTTTTTTCAGAACTGTAATCATGAATTGTCATTTAAATGATATATTTCCATGTTGTCAAGTTTATTTTTTGAAGATATTTCATTTTATTTCTGAGCTGCCATGTTGTTCATGGTATTTGATAGATTTTTCCTCCTCCTGGACATTTATAGGAATATACTCTGCTTTTTAAAAAATTATTAAGAGTGATGCCTCTTTAGCAGGTTGATAAGAAGAGATTTTACTTTTGTTTTCCAGGAGGTGGCACTTGAAGGAAGTACAAGTTTCCTGCACTGCTCAGGCTTCCTGGATCTCTGCCGGGTGTTGGAAAGTGCCTTGTATTCCCTGGGAAGGTGGGTTTCTCCTCTAGGACCAGTCGCTTTGGTCTCAGGGCCCCACCTCTGTGGAAAAGCGTGATTGGTGATGGGTTCTGAGCCCCTTAAGTCCCAATGCTGCCCCAGCAGCCCGATGCAGTGTTGTGCTACCTGATGTGTGCCAGGTGCTCCAGCTAGGATCAGCCCTGATTGGAGGGGTGGGGTGGGTTGGGAGAGGCCACTGCTATGTTTGTGGCTTTGTTCTCCTCCCAGTAATGGCAACTGCCAGACTTCAGCTGCCTCGCCTCTGTACATTCACCCGTCACTGGGATGAGCTGCAGCGTGCATCTGCCTCCTAGGAGCTGTCTCTGCAGTTTTCAGGGCTGTAGATTTTCTGCTTTGGAGCCAGACACTCACTGCTAGTTTCTTCTGGGGCTTGCTGCTAGCTCTGGGAGGGTGGGGGGAGAGGCATCCAGGCTCCATGGCTCTGTTTTCTGCCTGGCACTGGCGACTGCTAAAACACAGCTGTCGCGGTTCTGTACTTGGCCTCTGCCCTGATGTA